GTGGTAATGCCTGTATTTTTATTGCTACCTGACAATGTTTCCAAGAAGGCCCGATTTTTTTGAGTTGCTGAATTTTGCCAGAATTTAGGAACCTAAGAAATGACACGTGCACATTCACACCCTTCAAAAGAATGCTAAAGTTTCAAAGTCAAGTACCCAAAAGTTAGGAAATTCCAAAACTAAGGTGGTCTGTGTAATTTTAATGGTGTCCTTGTGTTTGTGCCTTAAAGTAATTCTAGAGTTATATGATCACACTTTTTTTTTTTTTTTTCCAAATATTAAACTCTGCCTTATTCAGTGCAGAGGGGTGACATGCTAAAGAGTTAATTCTTCTCTGTTTTGTTTTATTCTCATTCTCCCATGCCCTGTTTAATGCAAATCATTCACACTTCTCTCTCAGTACAAAGCTAGCTTCCTTAAGAGAGTCCTCATCACCTTAGCAAAGGAGTGTTTTGCAAACCATTAATTGTTCTTCAGTCATGTTCTTGGATAAAGTGATGTCCCCCTTCTGTGGATGAGAATCTGCGCAACAGATTCATTGAAGTCCATGTACAAGCGAACTCAAAGTGCTCAATTTGCACCTCATTTGGATTTGATTTTATTTATTTATTTATTTATTTTTAATGGACATGGGCACTACTTGAAGGCAATGGGTACTGTTCTTTGAAAAGAGATCTGTGCAGCATCTGGCAAACCAGACTTTAGCCTTGGGTTGTGCATTCAAGTGAAAGAACACGCAGGTAATAGTTACCTGTGGAAAATGAGTGATCAATTGCCCACTACCACATGGAAATTGCATGGCAGGGAGCCAGGGATGTAATACAGTTCTCCAGGGTGGCAGTCAGTTCCTTTTATATATGAAAACATGCTTGCAGTTTTTCCTATCGTATTTACTATAAGCTTTGCATTCAAACAGGGCAGGGCATCCTACTAACAGCTGCCTTTTTAATGTTCAACCCCGATTGGTTTCCTGTGTACTGTCCTTCCTGGGTATTAACTGAATCAGAACTCCAGTAGATCAGAATGTGTGATAATGTGATTTAAGATGATTAATGTCTGTGTCCCAGAGGGCCAAACTAAGATTGCACAGAAACCTTAATATTTGGATTTACAAACTTGAGTACTTGACTTAAAATCTTTACTACTGGTTTTAATGTCCTTTTGTGTGTGCAATTCATTTAGAATAAATACCAATCATCTCTTCTAATCTTAGCCCCCTGTCAAACTGTTCCAAAAAGGGTATGTTATCTGCTGTACTCCTTCACCTTCTCTTAGCCACATACACAGTTCATTAAAGGGAAAGAAAACCATTTGTATAGGTAAGGAAGTCAAACTACTGAGAGTCGAAATACAGTTTGAGATGAAGCAAAACTGCAGACATTTTATATAACTATTTAGTTAAGTAGACTGTTCTGTAGTGTGAGCAAATGCTCATGTCATCAAAGACACTGGGCACTGAAATGACTTAGAGGATCTTCTGTTTAGGTATCTAAAAGACTTAAATATGTTTGCATTTCCTTATGCTTCAAGAGGCATTTTCCCAAAGCTTCAGAACCATGCAATTTTATTAACACAATATGTGGTATAGACAAGAATTTTATTGTTCTAAAGAACCACAGATAATTAAGGTTGGAAGGGACCTCAAGAGGTCACATCTAGTCCAACCCCCTGCTCAAAGCAGGACCAGCCCCAACTAGATCATTCCAGCCCAAGCTTTGTGAAGCCAAGTCTTAAAAACCTCCAAGGATGGAGAGTCCACCACCGACCCAGGTAACCTGTTCCAGTGTTTTACTACCCTCCCAGTGAGTTTTTCCTAATATCTAGCCTAAACTTCCTTTGCTGCAACTTAAAACCATTACTCTTTGTCCTGTCATCTGCCATCACTGAGAACAGTACAGCTCCATCCTCTTTGGAAACCCCCTTCAGGCAGTTGAAGGCTGCTATTAAATCCCTTCTCAAGCCATTTCCCTTAGCCTCTCCAAGTCATGTGCCCTAGCCCCCTAACCTTTTTCATTGCCTTCTGCTGGACTCTCCAATATGTCTACATCCTTTCTGTAGTGGGGGGCCTGAAACTGGACATGGGATTCCAGATATGGCCTCACCAATACTGAATAGAGGGGAAGAATCACTTCACTCGATCTGCTGGCAGTGCTTCTACTAGTGCAGCCCAGTATGCTGTCACAAGAGCACACTGTTGGTTTATATTTGGCTTACTGTCCACTGTAACCCCCAGGTCCTGTTCTGCAGAACTGCTGTTTTGCCAGTCAGTCCCCAGCTTGTACTGGTGCATGGGTTTTCTTCCATCCTAAATACAGGACTTTGTCTTTATTTTGAACCCCATGCGTTTTCTTTTGGTTCAGTCCTCCAATTTGTTGAGGTCTGTCAGATTTCTATCCCTACCCTCCAGCATATCCACTACTCCCCCCCAAGCTTGATGTCATCTGCATGCTTGCTGAGGGTGCGCTCTATGCCATCTTCCAGATCAATAATGAAGATATTGAACAAAACTGGCCCCAAGACTGACCCCTGAGGCACTCCACTTGACACTGGCTGCTAACTAGACATCAAACCATTGACTACTGCCCTCTGAGCCTGATGATCCAGCCAGCTTTCTGTCCACCTTACAGTCCATTCACCCAACCTGTACTTCTTTAGCTTGCTTGCGAAAATGTTGTGGGAGAACATATCAAAAGCCTTGCTAAAGTCAAGGTATATCATGTCCACTGCTCTCCCCACATCCATAGAGCCAGTCATGTCATCCTAGAAGGTGATCAGGTTGGTCAAGCATGACTTGCCCTTGGTGAATCCATGCTGACTGTTCCTAATCACCTTCTCCTCCAAGTGCTTAGAAGCGGATTCCTTGAGGACCTGCTCCATGATTTTTCTGGGGAGTGAGGTGAGGCTGACCCATCTGTAGTTCCCCAGATCCTACTTCTTTCCTTTCTTAAAGATGGGCATTATATTTTCCCTTTTCCAGTTGTCTAGGACCTCTCCTGATTGCCATGAGTTTTCAGAGACGGCCAGTGGCTCTGCTATCGCATCAACCAACTTCAGCATCCTTGGGTGCATTGTCTCTGACGCCATGGACTTGTACATGTCCAGCTTTTCTAAATAGTCCCTAACTTGTTCCTTTGCTACTGTAAGCTGCTCACCCCCTCCCCAAGCTGTGCTGCCAGGTGCAGTATTTTCATAGTCGCTAGGGTCAGGAGGGACCTGATCAGATCATCTAGCCTGACCCCCTGCCGCAGGCAGAAATGAATGCTGAGTTCACAAGACCGCAGAAAGGTGATCGTCCAACCTCCTCTTGAATTTGCCCAAGGTAGGGGCGAGGACCACTTCCCTGGGAAGTTGGTTCCAGATTTTGGCCACCCTAACTGTAAAATATTGCCTTCTGATCTCTAACCTAAAC